GGTCTTAGGGTCATACTGAGGTTAAGAAGCTGTTGTATTTTAAAAATGCTCAGTTTATGTTAAATAAAGATTAAATGTAGCCAGTCAACCCCCCCAGGATATCGGCACAAATATTGGATATATGGGTCTGGGATACTTAAGTGTTATGAGCTTGGTGGAGTCATGAAAAAAGATCCAAGCCATAAAAACACAGAAGGTGAACACCAATCTCAAATTTAAAATGGCAAATATATCAATATATTTCTATTTATTCAACAGTGGCCTCCTCTGAGATTGTAGGTATCTGATAGCTACTGTGTCTGCAGGGGCACTGAACTCAAGACTAGGTAGGCCTAGAATAGAAGGTTATGAAATACATCAAATGTTATGTTACAGATACTAATATATGAAAATCACTACAGGGACATGTTTTTTTATTTTATTTTTTGCCCCACATTTTGCATATCTGTGGCATTTTTTGTCACTTTTATTGCCAGTTATTTCCCCCAAGTCCTGGTTCAGTTCTGACCATGCCATTTAGTGCCACAATCCAGCCACAAAAACTAGGCTGGACATATTGCTTGGTGATATTATAGTGCCATCTAGAGTAGAGAAGCAGAACCTACACACTAAGAAAAATGTTTGAATTAGTGCCAGTTCACATCCGTTTATGTGTAATGTAATGTGATATTACTTTTTGTCAATTGTATATATTGCTGTGTTGAGTCTCTAGACCTAGATCGACAAAGATCCTATCAGTTGACTTATTGATTGGTTGGTTGATGATAGACGGGGATGGTTCATTGTGACACTGCGGTCGGAACCCCCGATTACATCTCACCGGAGGTTCTCAAGTCTCAGGGAGGGGACGGATACTACGGACGCGAGTGTGACTGGTGGTCAGTGGGAGTATTTATCTACGAGATGCTGGTTGGTGAGTCAGGAATGTGAATCTGTGCATTTACCTAAATTGTGCATTTGTGGTATTGATTTAATAAATGAGATTAATGTTTGTGTATGTAGGTGATACACCGTTTTATGCCGATTCTCTGGTGGGGACCTATAGTAAGATTATGAACCATAAGAACTCTCTTAACTTTCCTGGTGACATTGAGATCTCTCAAGAAGCCAAAAACATCATCTGTGCCTTCCTAACAGACAGGTGAGCTTTACATGCACAGATAGATGTACATGTATTTCCATATTGATGGTCAACTGCCAGGGTTCACGCCTGTTTGACAAAATGTTTTTGCCGATGTTTGCATTTGGTAGGGAGGTTCGCCTGGGTCGAAATGGCGTAGAAGAAATTAAAAGACATCCTTTCTTTAAAAACGACCAGTGGACCTTCAGCACCATTAGAGAGAGTGAGTAAATGTCCATCATACTTGCATATGTTTTACAGTACATTTTAAACAGAAAATAGTATGGAATTTATGGAATTTGTCATATCACTGGAATTTTTAAAAAAAATCAATAAAGTGAATGTATGTGTTTCTCAAACACCTTCTTGCCTTTATGGAACATTGCCCTTGTGGAAAAAAGTGCACAACTAAACTAAAAAAAAATCTTCTTGCATGTAATATAATATTAATGAAATAAATATAATGAAATACATTTCGTAACTTTTTTTTTAAAGAAGTGTACTAAAGTTCTAATGTAAAGTGAATTTTTAAACCTTTTTAATAATCTTTTGCACATCATTTTGACATACTGAAGCACATGTTAATATATAGAATAGAAATTAGAGCCCGACCGATATGGGTTTTTTGGGACCGATACCAATATTAGGGCGTTAAAAAAGGCCGATATCGATATATCGGCTGATATTTTTTGTGTATATTATAGTTAGGGCTGGGCAAAAAATTTTTTTTTTCGATATATCGTTTTTTTAAAATGTGGTCGATTCAATATCGATTCTCGAAGGCCACGAATCGATTTTTTTCAATATTTATTTCCACAAACATTGAACATAAGATTTACGTTAATCTTATTACTAGTCTAAGCCACTAGATGTCACCCACTTATTTGCCTTGCGTGATGTTACAACGGAGAGTCCGTCATTCATTCATTGCATAAAATGGCGGATTCAGGTGCGTTCCCGACGTCAACACCACCTTCCAGGGCTCTACAGTGCGACCATTTCAGTCTGACCAGATCATCATCATACTTGTGATTGCGCTCAGGGGAGCTTCAAAGGTTTCTACGTGTTTTTGCAGCGTTGAGTAATGTATCACAGACATATCTCACAAATCCTTTCATAAGCAAAGTGAGAGATTCATTGCGCAGTGTAGAGAGCTTCGTTGATTATAGATGTGAGATCCAGATGAACTAAGATGAGTGCCGGCTTTTAATGATTTTTAAAGGAGTTTGTAAATGTGATACTGATTTAATACAATTCAATAAACAAGAAGTTAATATTAAGTTACTTACATTGTCTGACTATAACACTATTGTCTGATTTTGCTCTATTTCGTCGAAAATTGTTTTAAAAAAAAGTCACAGCGGAGCCGCTGCGCATATCCATTCAAACACAGCGGTGTCTCGTTTATGAATGAACGTTTAAAAAAAAAAAATGAATTTAGTGAGTCAGTGATTCATGATTACCCATTCATAAAGACTGTCAC